GCTGGTGTCTGGCTGCTACCTTTGTGGGAGTGTGTGTTCTCTGATTCACTTGTGTTTAGCTCTTGAAATCCCCTCCTATAGATCCAATGTGATTGACCACTTCTTTTGCGATCTGCCCCCACTCTTATCTCTTGCCTGCTCTGATGTCTCTATGAACGAACTGCTGCTATACATTGTGGCCACTTCCAATGAGATCATCACCATCGTGCTCATCCTCACCTCCTACGTGTTTATTGTCATCACAATCCTGAGGATGCGCTCTGCAGAGGGAAGGCGCAAAGCCTTTTCCACCTGTGCCTCCCACCTCACAGCCATCATTGTCCTCCAGGGAACAATTCTTTTCACCTACTGCCGGCCTGGTTCTGGCAACAGTGTGGATACTGACAAGGTGGCCTCGGTGTTCTACACCATAGTGATTCCTATGCTGAACCCGCTGATTTACAGCCTGAGGAACAAGGATGTGAAGGAAGCCCTGAGGAAAGTTTGGAATCCAAGTTACTTTTCAGGGAAGCTCTCTTTTAGCTAGAGTCGGGGTTTCATGAGACGCCTTTAAGATGGGCTTGTTGGGGTGGATGTGAAAGAAAAGTAAAATAAGGATGGATTTTACATGCTGCAGGACTATGCATGCTCTATAGGGTTTCCTTATTCCTGTATCCTTAATCCATATCTTATTCTTATGGGCTGGTTCATAGGCATCTACTGCCTTGTTCTTCAGTCTGTAATTGCTTGGAATGGGTTTTTGGAATGATGTTGTTCGACTCAATTTTTTGGTTTGAGATAATGTAAATATATTTCTAATAAAGTGCACATAAAGAGATATGTCTTTTCATCATCCTTAATGAATGCCACCATTGTTGTTAAAGTGCCTTCATTTTTTACATGGGATGGGTATACATTAGTCTCATAGTCTATGCTTTCTTTTGGTTCTTTATGATTATTTTCTTTTTTATTACCCTTTCTATTGCAAGGTTTTAATTTTAGAACTTTTAAACCTATTCTTTTCCAAAATAGAGGTTATTCTCTACTTTTATAATA